CTTGCCCTCGATTGATGTCAGAACGCCTTATCATTTTGGGCGTCAGCCGGTTTTGAAATGGTCCATGCGGCACCACCCTTGCGGCGCCTGGGAACCATGCACGACACCAGCCAGGGCTTTTCTCCAATCATGATCCTTTTGAATGTGCAAAGTGGTGATGGCGCCTGGAGCAGGCGGAGGAGCGACTTGAGCCCGCGCAGGGCTGATGGTTTCACCGATAGAGAGAGCAGGGAGCCTGGGGCCCGCAGAGCTTTCCAAGTTCGATGCGGCAAATCACCATCTAGGTGAGGGTCGTCACTGCCGAAAATCTCTCAGGAACTTCTCGAGGTTTTCAAGTTGCCTTGTTTCTCATTTCAATTGCCTAGCCAGGCTCTGAGGTTTGCTCCAAAGGCATTTCACCAGCGGAAAAGCCGGGCGCGAATGCGCCGGCATCAGCCAATCTGGGGGTCCCTACCAAGAAGCCTTTCTCTATTTTGAGCGGTTGATCAACTAGACAAGTTTACCGCATCTTAAAAGCCATACCCTCCCAGGACACGGATGGTGGGGGCCCCTTTCGGAATTCCTGCCACTTGCAGCGAGGCAAGCGAGGGCAGACAACAGAGAGCATGGGGTTGGCAGGTTCCGACTTCGCGGAGGGTTGAACTCCTTGGTATGCATTATCACTCCTGGGAAGTGCACAGCTCCCGCACCTCAGCCGCCCTCCCTCGTCAAACTCATATCGCAGTGTGCGGCCAAGCGCCAACGTTGCAGTGTTGGCTTCTGCGGGCGCTGAGGGTAGGAATCTGCCGTCAGCCGTCTCCTTCCCGTGATGAAGATCGCGGAGTTCGTTGCGTGCCAGATCTATTCAAAATCAGCACCTGAGAGGCCTTGGGAACCGAATGCCCAGTTCTCCTGTTGGGTGTGGCGAGGAGCCATTGATCTGGGATGGCTGAGCCGTCCACACGTGATTCCGTAGTGGCAGCCGACTAGGCAACCCCAGTCCTCCTCCCCAAATGAAGAACGACACCAATTTTACGCGCTGCAGTAGTGTGGTCAAAGCAACCCAACACACGAGCCACACGACCAATGATTCTCCTCCACGTGGACGGTGGCTCTTCGCTTGACAAGTACCATCTCCAGGTGGCGTGTGCCCCACGACGGCGATGTGGATGAGCTGCGCGTCGAAGTGGCAGGCCGGCAGCAAGGGCCGATGTGGCTGTGGGTCACAACCAATGGTACCATTTTGGGGTAGGTGAATCAACCACCCATGTTAGTCTATTTTAGTGGGGATTGGGATGTTCACTGAAATTCCGATTTGGCTTTTGGCCCATGGTCCAATTTTCCCCCGGTTTCCCTTGAGATCTCTGTCGGTGCCAGGTGGCGAGTCTGGCACCAAGCTGGGGTCATTGGGGGCAATGAAGGCAATTCCCACCGAGAGGCCTGTTACCCGTGTGGGCTCCTTGGGAGGCTTGAACATGACCAGCTTGATGACTTCAGAGTTCAGGTCCGGCAGCTCTGAGGAGAGCGAGGAGGCGCATGTCATAGGAGCAAAGCATGGGGATGCCTCAAGACTCGGAAAACTTTGCGGTTTTCAAGGCTTGCTAGCGCAGCTTGTTTTGCCACGCTTGAGTCTTGTAAAAAAGGGGCTACCCGGATACAGCATCGGGCTCCCCCCGGCACATCCGTGCCGCTCCGCCGGCCGGGTTATTTACCGGCACGACCCAAAAACCTACCTCCCCTTCTTGTACTTCTCCTCGTAGTACTTCTTCCTCATGAAGTCCATGGACCAGCCGCGCCCGGCATGGTCATGTTGAAACTGGTTCCAACTCGTGTTGCACTTCTTGACCGAAGGCCTGCGCAGTGCTCCTGATGACGTTGCACTGCTGCCCTCCTTCTCCATCTCATCCTTTCCTCCAAACTCCATGCGAACCTCCTCTCCACTTCCAGCTGCACCGCCTCCTGATCCAGCCGATTCCATGCTTCCTGCAGCTCCCGAAACCTTTTCAAGCCTCTGGCCCTGCTTCTTGATTTCCACCTCCATGCCATCGACGATCAGCTTCATGGAAGTTGGCTTCTGCCGCTCAAGCCCCTTCTCCTGCGACCAACTCCTACTCCACTGATCCTCGACCTCGTCGATCTCCTTTCTTGCCAGCTTCACCCCCGAGTCGTCCCGGCCAACTCGCGGTTCCACCCACAACTTCTTCACCACACTGCTGGCAGCCTTGACCGTCCACCTGGCCACTACCGCCGCCCCAATTGCCATCAAGATGCCTCCCAGCGCCATGATGACGTCGATCGTCTCGATGCCCGAGACCTCTACTCCAGCTCTGGCTCCTTCAGCCCTTGCCACCAGGCTTGCACCAATCGCCATCATGATCCTAGCCTGAGCTTCACCTAGTTTGGGAGGGCAGCCCGACGGGCAGTGGTTCCTATCCAAAACAGCTGCGGTTCCGCGGCCATCCTCCGGGGTTGAGTCCGGTTCATCTGCCCTGGACTTCTTTGTAGGCGGTTCATTTTCCCTGCCTAATCTTCTCAGGCCCTTTTTCCTGGCTTCTTCCCCGTCAGGCCTCCCTACTGTCGCTGGTTCATTTTCCCTAGCGATCTTCCTTCCTACTGTCGCTGGTTCATCTTCCCTAGCGATCTTGATTCCTTTCTTGTGCCCTTCGGCGGCCCAGTGGCTCTTTTTGTTTGCCCAATGGCCTTGCTTCACCATACCAAGCTCAACCAGAAAGCTACCAAAAGCCTGACCCGACAAAAGCTTGGTGAAACCATCAGCAACCAACTGTACACCCGGCATGTGCTCCAACACCCACTCACCCTCCTCCAAGGCCCACCTCAACGCTGAAGCCCTGATACGAAGGTGTCGTGTCCTCCAATTTCCTGCTCCGTTGGATGCCAGGCTGATCGCCGCCATGTTATCCCCGTACATCCTCTTGTGCTCCACTTTCTCGCCAGTGACGACCTCCGCGAGCGACACCAAGGCTCTGCTATCCAATCAACTCACCCTCCGCTGTGCTCTGTGCGACAAACGGCTGCCTCACCGACTCCCAGCAGATTGGAGCTCCTTCCACAAATCCCACGATGCCCTGCACGCTTTTGTCCTCCCCGCCCGACGCGTAGGAGATGTCCGCGAAGACCTCCACCATGTTCACTTGTCTCTTCATGCCAAGACCTTCTCTTGACGCCCATCCTCCAACCGGTCCATAGTTCAGGCCCCGATCAGTGGTCGCCTTGACGTACCTCAGCACGTCCTTGCCCAGGTTGACGACCTCCACGCCTTTCTTTGTCCATCTTGACATAGCCGCAACTGCCACCGCAATGTCCGGTCTCGTCTTCGAAGCCAACCACAACAACGCACCCGTTATCGCCTGAGCCTCTCTGATCTCTTCCGGGGTGCCATCCTTGCTGTCCTCCTCCGGTAGCTTGTAGCTTAATGCCTCCGTGCCCTCTTTGATGTCCCACTTGGCCACCAGGTCTTCCGCGAACGCCTTCTGGTTCACCAGATAGCCTCCATCCTTCTTGTAGACCTCAAAGCCACAGAACCTCATGGGCACCTCAGCCGTCGCCCACTCCGCCGGGGACAACTTCCAATCTCCATCATCCATCCTTGCTCTGGCCGCCTCAATGACCTCGTCCTTGCCGGCCAGCATCACGTCGTCCACGTAGATGGACATCAATCCTTGCACTACCCCGGTCTCGGCCTCGATGATCCTCCATAGATTTGGCTCCTCCGTTTCCAGAAATTTCATCTTCTTTCCACCTCCTTCCCATTCCATCTTGCGGATCTCCACGTCCCGGTGCACGCTCCAGTCTCTAGGACTTGTGGTTAGTCCATAGACCGCCTTGTCGACGACCCACATTTCATCTCTTTGGGCGATGCCCAGCTCCTTGAACACCGACGGGACTTCCATTATGATCGTCCTGCCATCGTCTCTTCGCGGAGCGTTGAGAAACGCCGTGTGAATGTCTGTGCACAGGAGGCTCCATCCTCGCTGTCCCGCAGTTCTCAGCACCATCCGGATTTGCAATCCGTCTGCACCTCCCGCGTACAGCTTCTCCGCGTCCTTGCCGGCTGAGTAGTTGCCGCACACCACTCCTCTGACCTTTCGGCGCCCATCGGGCGCTTTCCTGGTGCACACCGCCTTGGCTGGAAGAACTTCGACAGGACCTTGAATCTGATCGATGTCCCTCTTCCTGATCGGCTTGACCGCCTTGCTTTCCTCCACCAATGCCGTGTATTCCTTCTGCGCTGCCGCCTTCCACTCTTCTAGTTCACTCCTCACCTCGCCCATAGACACCGTCTTCGTCACGAGCCACTCCTCTTCTGCCTTTGCTGCGCCCTCCACCTGCATCCGGTTCAGCGCCGCTTCAATGTGACTCCTCCGTTGAAGTCCTTCTCGCAGTACTCCAAGCCACATTTCTTGATCTTCTCCTTCTGCATCCAAGATCTCGAGCTCTTCCTTGACCCATTGAGTAGCATGTTGATGCCATTTTTCAAAGTGGGCCTGATCCTCTACCTTCTCCCCCTCGACGACCATCGTCGACATCGCCGTCTTTTCCCGCAATCGCCTCCTTGGCCTTTCCGCTCTTGGCATCAGGAGGTCTGCTCCTACTCTTTCTTCAAGTACCACTTCCTCCCCCGGGTCGATGATCACCTCCTCAGGCTCCCTGATTGCATCTGTAGTTGCGAAGTGCCGTCCATCTTCGCAGCTCCTTACCCAATAGCCGCCTGATGTTGTCGACATCACTGCATCCGGGCCCATGATCTTGACCCGTTCGCGGTCAAACCTCCAATCCTGACCTCTTTCATTCCAACTCTTCTTCTTCACATAGGCGACCGTTCCCCACGGCAGCATTTCCTTCACGGGCAGGCCAACCGCATGCAATTGCCTCCGTAGACGCCGTTCTCCAGCATGCCTCAACGCCATCGGCCACAAGGTAGCTGGTTCTCCGCCCGCCTTCAGCAATGTTCTCGTTGCCCTTTTCAGGACCCCGATCTCTGCCTCAACCCGTCCATTCTC